ACATGTCAAGCACAGGTGCTCAAGGGATGTACATCCTCCTTGCGCCCACCTGCCCTTCTAGGATCTTGGAAGATTACACTGTGTCCACGCTAATGGCGCTGCTCTCATTCATTGATTCAGTGCATACCTTTGGGAATTAGAGTGATGCCTAGCACAGAGTAAAAACTCTCAAAACATGTGTTGACCAAATGAAAGTGATAATGAGGAAATGAGAATCGGACTAAGGAAACAAAAATATTAAAAAATCATGAACCCATCCCTTAAATAACTTAAAAGGAGAAATGCATAAGGAAGGTATAAGGATAGTTACTAAGATAGTGAAATACCATATTCTGAAGAGATAAAAAGATAAGACCCCGTATCTAGGGTCAAAAGCCAGAAATAGATTTATTTCTCTCATTCAGTGCAGGAAATGCTATTATAGAGATACTGAGACAATGTCACAGGAATACAGAGAAGAGAAAAAATAACTGTTTGAAAGACTCAGGCAAGACTTCACAGAGGAAATAAAACTTGACTGGGCAGATAGAGAAAAAGGACACTTTTGGTAGAGGAACACAATACATTTGGTCTATGGAATTGGTCAAAACATTCTGAGAAACACTGCTTTTTGAACTTTTCTAATGCTACATAAATTCTTAAAACAATATTTTGTACCAAAAAAATGTACCGAGTGAATCATTCCACTGGCTGTAATACAAGAAGCAATAATTTGTTTTCTTTTTATTTGTCTTATAAAAATATAATTTTGCATGAAATCATACTCTGTGGTCTAAGTCTACTATAGCTGGGTGTCACTTTTACATATTTGCCTTTGGTCACTTTTATAAAGCAATAAAGACACCCCACTCCATTTCTTTTCTGCTTCTCTTGAGACAAATAGCCAATTCCATTTCACAATGTATTTATTATATTTGAAGCATTCAGAAGTCAAGATGTGTGACATTTTTCACCTTGCCAATTCCAATGTTAAGTCAATGTCACATTACCAGGCCAAGAACCCCAAACTTAGACAAAAGCAATCTAGTGGCATCAGAAATTTGCCAAATCTCCTAATTCAAAAAGAAACTGTTAAAGATGGCTGTGAAGTTTTTGGCACCGTGAGTTGAAGCCATTCCATAATAGGGTTTGTATTTCATCTAATCAGCAAATAGGAAACTATAAAAGTTTTTGTTGGTGTGGGGGAATTAAAATTTGGATCTTAATACATGAGTCTTCCCTTCCACATGTTTCAGTGAATTAAATCTTCTAAATCTTATTTTTAAAAAGTAAAGCAGCCTGTAAAATTATATTTTTGGTACAGGAAACTTAAAATACTCGGGATTGAAAAAAAGAAGAGGGACAAAAAAGGATATATGGAGATTTTATATCCAAAGTAGTGTCATGCTGTAGGTTTATTTAGAATTAAGTACATTTAAGCTTTCAATTTTTTTTTTCTAAGTGACCTTTCTTTTTTTTTTCTTTTTTTGAAAATCAGGCATCTGAAACTTTTATAGATATTTTTTGAAGGTGGTCATTTATCAATCTAATTAAAAATGTTTCCATTTGAAATCCCAAAGATAGTAGTGGGGGCAAGAGGTATATATATATATATTCTATTCTTATGTGGAGCTATGTGAATTATCATACTCTCAGAATGAGAAATGGAAAGGGTTTTCATCATAAGGTAAAACAATTTTTTCCAACTGATTAAACTTGATGTATTATGATCTTGTAAATGGCAGAAATAGCAACGTATCCCCTTCAACTCTGAGTAATGTTCTCTTTTCCCTTTCTCTATTCTTTGTCTGTCTTTTAGGCCCCATATTGATTTATTTCATAATTCCTTCTTTCTTATTTCCTCATCTTTTTGTTTTTAAATGGAAAAATGTCCTCACCTTTATTCTCCTATCCTTTCAGTGAAAATTGTTTTGCCATCATATGTGTAATTTCTAAAAGCTCTTTCTCATTTTTCACTCCTTATGTTTTAATGATATCCTGCTTCATGAAATGCTGTTATCATCTCTCAGGGATTTGTATTTTTTGCTTTTTTAAAAATTTTCTTCTGTTTGCTCCAGTGTCCTTCTCCTAATAATTTGTTTCAGTCCCAGTCTTTTTTACATTTGAAGCCTTCCTAATATGACTGATGACCCTTGGCTGCCCACTGATATTTAAGAGTAAGTTAATAAATGTTGAATGACATTCCTCAGGCACAGGTGTGCTTTCTAGCCTGGAGTGACTCACTTGTGTGTGTCTGGTTTGGGTGCTAGTCAAGTATAGGGCATCTCCAAATATAGGTATGTAGAAAATTTTTTTCTTACAATGATCAATTTCTCTAGACAAGGATTCAACAATGCCTGGGGAGGCGGGGTGTGTGAGGGGTTGGCAGGTGGGGTTGCTCAGGAGTATAAACTCTGTGTTGCTGGTCTTCTGCATGTGGTAGGAGAGGGGTATTGAAAATCTGAGCACGCCAGTGGAAGACATTCATTTAATACTCTTTTCAGCCCCTCTGCATTCCATCTTCAGTTGTGCCAGCCGTTCCTCAGGCCTCGACCTCTCTCATTCAACTGTTCCACCACTATGAGCTTGCTTTCCCCTGACTTAGATGGGAGTGTCTAGTGGACATGGGGGAGAGACCTGACCATTCCCCACATACCTTATAACTGATTACCCCACCTAGGCTCCTTAACTCACTCTCTTCTATGCTAGCTGCCTCCCAGTCTTGAGTCTCTCCATGTTTCTTTTTGAAGACTTCAGATTTCTTTCCATCATTAACCCATCCCAAAGCCGGCTCAGGGAAATCAGTTGTAATACCTCCTTACCCTTTCTAATTTCCAAAAATCAGTGTAACTATCATCTCTCCTCCCATTGTGATTGTTCCTGTGAGGTTATTCCTTCTCAATATTTTATTCAGTGAGTTTATCTTGATTTACCCTCATGACTGCCATTTCTTTGTTCACCACTCTTTCTGTATCTCACTCAGTAACTCCTTCTAGATTTAATTCTGGTTTTTTGAAGGACATCTACGGTAATTTCTTAAGCGAAACCATTTAGTGGACAGGTTTTTATTTAATTTCTTGTCCTAGGAATTCCCTGACTATGCAAATAAAGTAAATTCAAAACCCAAAGCCTGGTAGAGGGAGCAGGTAGTGACAAATTCCCAGCAGAGACTTCATTCATTCTCGTTCAGATCACATGCTGAGACCGGAAATCCTTCCTGCAGCTTTTCTGTACCAGTACTGCAAACTTAGTCTCTATGATCCTTCACTAAGGGTAGGAATTTCTCTGCTTTATTTGGTATCTACTTCTTGGCCTTCTACTGGTCAAAAGCTTTGTCTCTTATTCCAGCAAGAACACAAAGAAACAAACAAACAGAAAGCCCCTTCCCACTGGTTGTCACAATTGGTAAACTATCCCAAATCAGCTACAGGATCAGCCTACAGTTTACTAGGCTGGTGTTTAGTTACTGTTTCATTTCTAGCTCCTGGGAAATTCTCTTAACTGCTTTTTGAGCTCAGGTATGCAGTAAAAGCATATGTGTCATATTTTATTTAGCATATCTATGGTTTGTTTTTTTTTTTTTTTTAAGATTTTTATTGGTGAATTGGGGGGATGGGAACAGTGCTGGGGAATTGGGGGAAGGGGGACAGACAAGTTGCTGTCGTTTTTGTTCTTCAGTCTAGTTGTGGAGGACGTTGCTTCACTGGCCCAAGTTGGCACCATCATTGCGCTCTTCCTGGGTGAGGCAGATCAGTCGCCGGCTTCTGGATGGCCGCTCACTGCGGCTGCTGGCCGCTCACGCTGGCTGCTGGCCGCTCACGCTGGCTGCTGGCTACACACGGTAGCCCATGGCAACCCACTGCCACAGGGACTGCAGCCCACGCCGTCGCCGGCGACTCACAGCAGCCCAGCTCCAGGTTGAGCCCTTGTTCAGCATCTTAGCTGTAGAGGGCAGTGTCACTGGCCCTCATATGTGGGATCCGAACCGGGGCCCTCTGGCATCCCAAGCAAGTTCTTAACCATCGCGCCACTCGGCCGGCCCTATGTTTTTTTTTTAATTGAGATGTTTTCTGATTACCTAGTCTGCCTATAGAGTTACTTTAATAGCATTTTAGTAGTATCTTAGAACAGATACATAATAATTTTAAGTGTTTAATCTACCAGCTTCTATGGAAAATTAAATGGTATTACTTTTAAATAATTATAAGATACCTTTCTATGAATTCACTTAGGAATCACTTTCCTGACTATTTGCTCTATGTTTTTCTAGTATTCATTTATTTTTATGAATATTGGAGAAAGATTAGGTGGCGTGACTAAAATAATATAGGTAAGATTCAGATTAGGACTGAAGGCTAGTTCAAGTACTTATTAGCAGAAAATTATCAAAAAATTTACGTGTTTTGGATAGTCCTCTATTGTGGAAAATAAAAAAACTTAGTAATACTTTGAAACACATGGAATTATAATTTTGTAAGTCATGATGGTAGACTATCAGCAATTTCTTATGCTTTGTAAGAACTGCTTTCACGGAACTATGGCCTCCAAGAGTGCTTGTCACAAATAATGGCTCCACTTGCTTTCGTAATGATTTCAATCAGAAGGAATTCCAGGTGACACGAATCGACACACATGCAAAGTTTTGGCTATTTGGAAAGAATCAGACTTAGTCCTACATTATAGCCAATTTGGGGTTAATGTTGGCTTGTAGAACATAATCTTTATACAAATATTGCTATTAGGACAAATCCATCATGTAATCACGTAATTGGGGTTCTTCATTTACATGTTTTCGTTTAGCTATATCAAAGATCATATAGCACATTTTATCTAAGGGAAACCCCACAGCCAAAGGAGTACATTTTTCCTTTATTTTCTATAGAGGGTTCTAACTTAGTATTGCCACCATTATATTCTCACAACCCGAGTTAAGTGGCTAAGAGCCAGTACCTCAAACCACCTCTACCTCAGTCTGCAGGGAGAAAACCAATGTCTAAAGAGCGAGGAAGGTAGTTACTCACTGTCAGAGCTAGCAGTTTCCCGTAGGTGAGATGTGCAGGGATATGGTCAGTCTTGGATCTCAATGATTCCATGTACCAGTGCTCTGCTTCAGGGAGTTTGCTTAATCGCATGTACGCTTCACCTGGAAAATGAATCGTGTAAATCAATCTGAGGACATAGCTTTCCAACAGCCTTTGCAACAGCATCACATCATCATGCTTATATTCCATGAAATTGCAGATGCTTTGGCAAGTACATTCATCCATTATCTCACTGGATTCCCCAAAAGTCATCACAATTCCATTTTACACATGAGAAAACTTGTGTTTGGAGAAATTAAGTGAAATGGCTAAAATAAAGAATTTAGTAAGTGGTAAAACTGATTTTGAACCTAGGAACATCTGACTCCCATGCATATGTCCTTTGTCACCATTTCTTTTTCTTTTTTGTTTAAAGATAAGTTTGTTCTTTCTTGTGTACAACTGTTCTCTTTTATTCCCATTCATTCATTCATTCATTTAGAAATTCAGGTATTTAGTGAATAACTACTAGGTCAAGAGCTTTATGTAGGACCTAGACGCAAGAAATTTAAGGTTCTACCCTCCATTGTTTACAACCTTATTGAGAAAGATTAAATGAAAGGGTTAAAAATATTTTAGATTAAGCCTTCGTGCTAGATTTTAGTTTTTTCAGAATTATTTGCATTGTATATATTAATAGGTAAATAAAATTTACCAGTTTCATTTTAAAAATCAAATGAATATATGACAATTATTTAGCATGTCCAGCACCATATACAAAGCTTTTCTGAGGCTTTTCAGTCATCAGTTATTACCTTCAATTTATACAAATTTAACTCACCAAATAGCATTTTACTAACAGCCAAGTATGAGGAAAAAAATGGAAATGAAGCCAAACATATAACAGTTGCCCACTTATTATAATGCCCCTCCCCTTTATATTATTATAGCAGGAAAGAATATTCACCCAATGGGAAAATTATGTTTTGAGATAATTTGTATATTTAAGTTAAATATCGTAGTTTTAATAAACTCTGCAAATGAAGAACTGCTCACTTTCTGAGTCTAAGCAATAGACTTGGTAACCTGCATTATTTTTTCGGCAGACTTTTATAGCTTAACTAATCATAATTATGATAGCTTTTTCCATTTAGTGACATAATCAGATGCTTTTTCTAAATGTATTACCCACACTGGTTGTACATTTTTGCTTCAAAGGAGGAGCTGGCTTCCTTTTATTTTAATCATATTCTCCTTGCATTAGCACAGCATTGTTAATACAAATATGTTTGATGAATTGAATTAATTTGAGTCCCCTGACTTTTTTTGTGCCCTTTCCTCAGCTGGTTAGTAAAAAATATTGGTGACAAATAATATGCAATATGCACAAAAATGGATGTATCCACTCACACACATATGTGTGTATCTACGTCTGAAAACAGTCTTTAAACTATACTATTATAAAAATAATAGCGATAAAATATTTTATGTTGTTTTACTAAAGCTTAAAATGTGATTGCATTTTAAAAGAATTTGGTTAGATTCAATCGCACACTCAGGGTGAGATGCAAGACATACTGAAACAAAACACCAAACACTGAAATGAAATACACAAGATGCTCATGTTGTTAGAATGGCAGAATTGGGAATGAAGTTTATAAAAATTTTCACAAGGTTCTGTAATAATTGTATTGTTTTTATTATAATAGCTCTACAAAAGTGAAAGACTATCAGATGAATTTTCTTTTTTCCACATCAAACAAACATATGTTCCTATGTTCCCAAATAAAGCAAAGAGTAATTTTTCTTAGGGAAAGTGAACTACTCTTCATACTGAAACAATTCTAGGGATAATTTGTAAAACAGAAAGGATGTACAATCCTTAAAGTAATGAAAAATTTAAAGCAATTAATGATAAATTGTATCCAAATATTTATTTCTAAAATGGATTCCAAACCAATAGAAAGCATAGATTAACTTCAGAGTTACAGCTGAAGATGGGCCTGCATTGCATGTTGTTTGAAATCAACCTGAAATCCTACTTTGGGTCCCCAAGTGCTCACAGATCACTTTTTAGAAGTTGTACAATCATAACATTTAATATAGCTTCCATTTCATATTTATAAAAAATTAAATTAATTTGTACAAAATACCAGTTGGTTTTCTATACAGACAAAAAGTGCAAGAGAACCCAATTCTAGAGTGCTTGAGATTCAAATCTTTATTATATTTAGGCTGTTGATGTTTGAAATTCAAGTGTACTTTTTTCCTGTCAGAAGTCTATCATTATTAAAGCCAATTTTGAAATGAAAGATTAATATACTAAAAAATCCATGGCTGGCCCACTGTCTTCACTAAGAGCTCATGAGTAAGTTATTAATTCGAAAAGCTTGTGAGATGAAGAAATATCAAAGGACTATAAATAAGAAACATAGTGTAGTAATGCATCTTGGCAAGTACATAAAAAATATAAATAACCAGCATACTTACTTATTATTCATTACAACTTAGAAAAACTCCAGGCAACCATTCGTTGCATCTTAGTAACGACAATGATTACAATGACAATCATTCATTAAATGCTTGTTAATGAATCAGGGTAGCAAGCTCCAAGGGTGGGGGGATGTCTGATTTATGTGTACCCACTCCTCACATTCTATACCTTTGGGGCCTTCACGTATTACCCCTATTCAATTGCTACCAACTGTTCAGAGTAGATTTGCAAGATGAAACATGATTTCAATCTCTCTATTGGTTGCTTTACATATGTATCTCATTTTTTATTCAAGAACCGTCACCTAGATTTTACAAATGAGGAAATCGAGAAGCAGAGTGGCTAAATAAAACACAAAATATCATAAATGTGGGAAATGGTAAAGCTGCAGTTCAACCCAGGACGACCTGACCTCAAAGTACACTGCTTTAACCAACTGATACAGAATCATCACAAACTTTCCAACAGTCCAGCTCAGGTGAAAATTATACTCTCTTTCTTGCTCCTAGAATTGTTTTCTAGTTTGTGATACACTGGCCATCCATTTCATTTCACTTTGCCTTGGGCGTATGTATTAAATTAGAGGAATAAGGAAGAGCAATAAAAATCCATGGTTGACCTTTAAAAATGTTTCTGCTGCATACGTGACTCAGTTCTTAAGGGGGGAATACAGAGCACATAAGATGCACTTCAGTTCTAAGGTTAACCTTAATGCAGGAACAGTCTATAAAAGTGGTAATAAAATCAAGATGCAAAACCTAAAAGGCAAGAAAATGACCATGGATGACTTTAAATGTGTTTAAAAGGGAACTCAATAAAGATTCAGGCAACAAATAATACCAGTACTTGCTATATCTCTGGCATTGACAAGGTGGGGGCTTCCTAGTTCTCATTTCTAATTCATAGTAGGGGTTAGAATACTCATCTTATGGATGAGGAGGAAGGCTCAGGAATGACAAGTGACTTGCAAAAGGACAGTTAATAATCCTATCCTTGAAGATTTGCATGGCTTTAAAGCCCATGCTTTTTGCCATTGCATCAAGCTGCCTACCATACAAAGTTTATTATTTATTGAATACCTACGAAAGTCTTTAGTACATTATCTTATACTTTGACATGATCTCTGCGCTGTGATTAATATCAGTCTCATTTTACAAATGAAGTGACTGTAGCTCACTGAGCCTGACCTACTTGCTCATTGTTAAAATATAAGCAAATGCCCGATTGAGGATTCAGTTCAGTACCCTCTGTGACTCTTTGTACTCTCCAGTTCTAAGTCCTACACAAAATAACTACAGAGTGGATACAATAACTGCACAAAGTGTCATCAACAGATTCAGCTTTAGGAGAGAATGATATATATGTAATCCGTTAAGCCTGATTAAAATATTAAAATAGTTAAAATTCCATGAAGCAAATGGCCACAGGGGGAAAAAACAAAAAAAGTTCAGTAAATTCCGTAAGTAAGGAAATGAAGATACTAGGTTGGGAATGGGTGGAGAGAGGAGGTTAAGTCATCTTCTCCGGTACTGTAATTCTTCTTAACTTGTAATAATAGAAAAGAATGTTTATAGTACCCAGGAGGAAAGAAGCAACGATGGCTATTTTTCCTTCTCATTCTGCAAAAAAAAATGACATAATAGGGGCACTTTTGTTAAGAATGAGAAGATTTGCTGTGCGATGATGTAGTGATCAGGTTTATCATCCAGATTTATTTCTGATTCCCTCACAGACAAAACGGATTTGGATGTCTCTAGGCTGCTTTCAGCAGATATCAACCAGTTTCCAACATAGAACAAACAATGTCATGTTCCTCCCTAAAAAGCCCAGGTCTAAATAACACGTGCAAAAGCTAACTCCTTAAAGGAAAAAATGCTGGGTTATTGATGATGGAATAGTTCACATCTCCTTGTTTCTCATGTTTCAAGTTACTAGACAGCTCAGGCTTGCAGATAAAGAATAGAGCATGTAGTGGGACACAGCACCTCTATTTGCCAGGGTTACCTTTGGTTCTTCTGCCCTTCGCTCAAGATAGTATGTTTCTATGTTAAGATGCAGTTCAGATTCCCTATGGTTTCTTTCAGATTTATTGAGATATTATAGCACTGCATAACTAACTTTAAGGTGTATGGATAAATGACTTGACATATCTACTGTGAAATGACTACCACAATAAATTTAGTAAACATCTATCATCTCATATAGATACACACACACACACACACACACACAAAGAAAAAAATGTTCTTTTCATTGTGATGAGAACTTTTAAGGATCTACTCTCTTAGCAACTTTGAAATATAGCATACAGGCAGTGTTAACTATAGTCATCATGTTGTATATTACACCCCCAGTACTTACTTATAACTGGAAGTTTGTACCTTTTGACCACCTGCATCCAATTCCTCCATGCCCCAGATTCCCTATTTTAAAAAAACACAAAAAAATTTTGTGACCACCCTTACCAAGAGTGATCACTCCTTACTCAACTGTTAAATGTCCTTGTAAAAAAATTATTGAATGCATATCTTGCATATGAATTTAGGTTAACCAACATGGATAATGGATATGATGGAAAAATAAGCGTTAATGAGCTATCACTCATTCCTGCTTTCATGGTACTTAAAA